TCTAATAGAGTCGAACATTTGTGCAAAGACTTTTGCATCGCATGTTATGTGCATTTGTTGCATTATTCTTTGCTATAAACTGTTGTCTTATCTTTTTTTTAATGAACTCTTCTTTTCTTTCTCATGTTTATCTCTTGAATACAAAATCGGACACTATTCAGACATAGAGATTAGATGATTCTACATTTCAATGTCAACTAATGGGCTTTGAAATTTTAGAATCAACGGTTTCATTTGTTCTTGATCAATACTCACTGCCATGAATAAAGAATATTGCTACGTCAATTTTTATAGATACCAATACGTAATTACCCAACCAACCATTCGATAGGCTTTTCGACGCGTCGATTTAGGCTTCCGATGGGCATCGGAATTCCAAATCGACCCCTGGGTTTGCCATTTTCCGATGGGTCGAGGGCTCCGCGATGGGTTGCTTTTCCAAGTATTTTGCAGTTTATATGATCTTCTATCTCGAGGGCTCGAAATATAAATTCCGATTGGTACTTGAAGACCACACTATCGATGATTTTCGATCCCTTTTTTGTCTTTGCTTCGATTGGTTTCGATAAGCTATTCCGATACCCATCGAATGACCTTTCTCGATAGGTTCTAAGTGAAACGAAAGTTGCAAAATATCGAGTGCTCGATGTTTCGCAGGGCTCCGAGCGGTCGAAATTTCGACCACTCGAAATTTTCGATAATTTTCAAAAAATTTTCGCCACCACTTATTTTCGAGCACTCGACACTGATTGAATAACAGTAAATTCGAACATATATACTTACGAATACCAGAGCCCTCGAGACCTATCGGAAATAAATGCAGAACAGTAGATTCGAACAAATGTACTTACGATTATGAAGCTTGCATTAACCAGATGATCTAAATATGACATTCTCAGCCTGAATAAATCTACGTTTCGTCATGAAATATATAAAACTTTGATGAAATTTTTTTCGTGTATGATCTAAACTAATTTTTTTTCGAAAAAAACGTGAGAGGAAATTGCTACTATTAATAAAAAAATATTTCGTATATAATCTTGACTATTTTTAAAGAAAAATTTTTTTTTAAATATATGATGTTGAATAATTTTTTTTTCGAAAAAAAGTAGGAACAGACTAATACTATTAATGAAAAAAAAATTAATATATAATCTTGGCTATTTTTTTCGAAAAAAATTGAGAGAAATTTGTTACTATTAATGGTTGAAAAACTAATTCCAGTTATTATAAGTTTTCTTGTGTGAACTAGAAGTTTTATGAGCAAATATAAAATACTTTATTATCTATTACAGTTGAAAAAAAATCGAAGACATGTTAGAAAAAAATATGACAACTCTCACTCAACTGCTCTCTTTAAGATTTGAATATTCGATTATTTCAATAGTTTCTTCATTATTAAGAAATCTGAAAGAATGTTTCTGCAAAATATGCGATGACGATCTAAGAATAAGACACGAAGAACGTTTTCCAATGTAAATATTCGGAATTGTTGAGAATGTTGTGTTATTCGTTTTAAATTGTAATAAATGATGTCTTGCGAATTCATCAATAAGATCTTCCAATAAAATAAATATTTTTCCATTATCGTTTGGATCGCTTACAATCGCTCTAATAAGTCCTAATTTAATTTGTCGTCCAAATACAAATGAAACACAACAATCGGCGAATTTGCGAGATTTTGTGGATGATAAAGTTTTATATTTAACATGTTTGATGGCTAATTCATCATGATACAAGAATTTTCTTTTTGTAATTAAGTTCAAATGCTTCATCTCGTCAACATAATTTGTAAAAGACACTCGTTTTCTCACGTGTATTCCTTGATTTGATACTAATTTGCGACTAAGAATACTTTCATTAAAATAAAATAGTTTTTCTGGATAATCAAGTTTGAATACATCAATTATAGCTTGTCGATAATATTGTAAATTTGAAATTAATTGTGGTCCATAGTGTGTCATACCATGGATCATGCACACCAGGTCATGACCAATGCCTGAGATAGTAATTAAGAATAAATACAACCTGAAAAATTCTTTTTAAACCGATGATAAAACCTATTGAATTGTTAGCAATTTTTGTGTAATGCGTAGAAAATGAAATAATAGTGAGAAATAAATGATCAGGTAGTTATAGCTCATTTAACTTTGAATTTTGATAACTCATGATATTCTAAAAACATAAGTCTTTTTCAAATCGCTACAAACGAGTTAAAACACCTTAAATGAATATAAAGCGATCAAACTCATTGTATTACTTTTATTACTGATGTCAAAATGTAATTATAATCGCATCAGCTAATAATTGATGATGATTTTTTTTTCCTTCAACTTAACAAAACACTTATCGTTCAAATAAAAATTGAAATAATCTTTATCTATATTTATCTATATTTTTGTTCTCATTATAATGAGATAATATCTATGATAGAGAATTATATGTAATAACGACGTGTAGTCTGCAAACTAACCTTCAAAATTAAAAGCACTATACATATATAAAGGACCTAGAAATTGTATTGATTCATGAATATGTAAAAGTGAATGTATATTGGATGACATATGACGAAGACCAAATATCTTTTGCCAATCTTTTACATATTGATGTAATAATTCTTTGACTAATATTATATCATAATTGTCAATAATATCTTTAGAAGCAATGGTAACAGCAGCTAATAACAATGCAAAATGTCGACGATATTTTGGTAACTTTGCTTGTAACAATACTGTTGAACCGTGATGCATTAAGGATCTGAATTCGTTCGCCTTGAAACGTGCAATATGTTTTATTGTTCGAAATCTTCGACTTGTAGTAGTTGGAATTTTAACAGAAGATAACCCTTGATCAATACTATTTATTTTATTATAAAGCGACCATTTTTGTTGACGATCAGTTTTGGATTTAGAAAAAATCAACGAACAAAATTTTTTAAATACACCTAAATATAATGTATGCAATGAATCAAAGAGTATTAATTCACCAAAAGAATAATATTTTAATTTTGTTAAAGGGCACGGAGCTAAAACAAATAAATTTCACAACATATATGCAGCAAATAATTATATAAAATTTTCTTCTGAAAGACTCTCCCAAATAACCTGGTTAAATCAAGGCATCCGAGACAATATTTAGACAATACTTACCAGCATGTCCTTTAACAGGAGAGCCATGCTGTTCGGCTTCGATCGCCAGATTATTGCATATGGAATTATTCCTGACTTCATCATTTCTATACGGGAATACTGTGATGGTACTTTTTCGTACCTTTTTCGAATAGATAGTGAAATTTTCACCTAAAATAATGCAATAAATTTTGAACTTGAAAAATGAAACTAAAGAATAATTATAATGTACCTTCAGTAAAGCATTTTGCACAGCTATAATTAGCATTGTGGGAGACCATATTAGTTAATAACGATTGAGCTGGTTTATCTGTACATGATGCAATAATAAAAAATTTAATATTTTGTTCACCTACACCAGGAATAAAAAAAGTAACACCAGCTTCTAATTGTGCACATTCTTGATATATCATGTCCAGTATAGTTCGAAATAATTTATTAGTTGGATGATTTGGTGTTGGTAAAACACCACCAAGAATAATAGATTATCAAATGCATTTTGTTGATTGCTTTGTGTTGTTTTATCAATTTGTGTTGATTTCTTAACAATCGTAATTGATGAATTTGTTTTCATTTGCATTCCAATAATCTCAGGTTTTTTTTATTCATTTTTTTTCTTTTTTTGTTTAAATGTTGTACATTCCGTTACTTTGTTATTGTTATTTGATTCGGAGACAATGGTAATCAACCATGTTGATTTATCAACTGTTAAAGAAGTATCACCTTCACAATATTCTTCACATTCCTCGAATGTTCCTATTAAAAACCGTCAAGAAGAATATGATATAATATATAAGTAAATATATGGTTTTATCTAATCTTACCTTTAAATAGGAGTTTACCTCGAAGACGCCGATGTCTATCATTTTTGTCAAAAAATAAATAATCACCATTTACTTTTATTTTCACGTTTTTTGATGAGTGTATGCAGCTTGCTGGAACAAAACTTACTTCATTTTCATCAAATTTAACTACACATATCGGATCCATTACTTATTGTATGTAGCGTGACAAACAGACTGCTGTTGCATAGCCATCTATATATATGTCGTATCGAAATTACAACGGTCGTTGAAGTTGCAAGGTCGACAGGCATTGTTACCTGTCGACCTTGCAACTTCGACGACCGTTGTAATTTCGATACGACATATATATGAAAGAATGACTTTTTAAACTCAAGGAACAATCCAGAATGTTATTGCCATTCTAATAATAATTATTTTTAAGTGTCCAGCGAACTAAAGTTAGTTGGATGAGATCACCAAATCAAAGTGAAGAATCACTAAAGAAACTGAATTTCAAGAACTTTCGGCTCATCAAAATTGAATTGAATAATGAAAACCGTTTCGTCGCTAGATTTGCCGAGAGAGAGTAATCAAAATTTCGATAGGCTTGGAGTGCTCGAAATTACATCGAGTAATCGAAAGTAGTTGTCCGATGCGTTTTTTCTCTTCGAGTAGTCGGTAAACCGATGGTTTTCGAGTGGTCGAAATGTATCCGAGGAGCCGAAAATAAATGTTCGATAGGAGTATGCTTCCGAGAGGTCGATATTCGATGGGTACCGAGGGGCTCGAATATTGAACAGAACGAGAAAAAAATATATATGTCAAGTTTCGACCACTCGTCGCGCCCATCGATAGCTTTTTTCTGTTTGCTTGGGTATGTCCTTAAGAAATTCATTTTATTATTTTTTGTTTTTGATTTTGTAAGTTGGAAAAAAGTCAAGTTTAAATAAAAATTACTCAATTTTAAGCTTATCGACATATTATTAATATTGAGTTCAGTCAATTCAAATATCATTGTATATGCGAAAAGAAAATCAATAAACTCAAACAGAATACTCTTCATTGATAGCCATACTCAAATTTGCAAGCTTGACTGTTTGGTAAAATATTATTGTACTAAGTCATTAGAAAGAAATATTCTCGTTTTTCTTTTCTGTTTTGTATTGTAGCGATAGTAAACAGTTAAATTTTTTTTTTACCTGGTCGTCAATGTTTATTAGCAAATATGACTTCGGACTCATATTTATTTTTTTATGTTTTACATGACTACTATACAACGTCAAGCAAATGACGCCAAGAAATGCACAAAACACAGAAAAAGAAAAAAACCCACTATGCATCAGAGAGAACATATTTACCTTTCGTCTCGGTAGTCATATAAACATGTGCGTCAAATTCTTGTTGCTTTTATTTTATTTCTGACATCACATCGAACACATTTATCTTCGAACGAATGCTGCAACATGAATCTTGTCTTTCCAAAAGTTCATGTTATTGCCGTCGAGTCGAATACAATACGATTCGTTCGACAATGGCACGACCGTTCGAAGTGATTGCGATGGACATAAATTCACTCGTCGTTAATAATGACGATAAACACACAAAAATAATTCAAAAATCATGATTTTTGTACAAAGATTATTTTTGTCTACGTAGAACAGACATTATTCGTTTTCTGCACGTTTTATATGCAGGCTATTCACATGAATTATTGTGAAAAATAAATACTTTATGTCAAAATAGGCTAAATTGACAAAAAAAAGTATTTTCACAACTTCTTTTTACCTATGATATGACAAAAAACAAACTGATCATTAATTCAATCGCGGAAAAAAATAAATTTAAATAATATTTTGAATTAGCCTACCACTAATCCATCAAGAAATCTCATATTAAATGTTTTTCATTGATGAAGATTGCATTGGAAAACATAACTAAAACAAAGACATGCTTCTTTACCTCTACCAACTTTTTGAAACGTGTACTTTCTTCTATGTAGTTGTCCTTGATTAATATGCTCACGAGATAAAAAATAATAAAGTATAATGAATATTTTTTTTATAACATATATATCATTCACATTAAAAATACTATTAAGAATTATTCTCTCTCAAAAAAGTCGATATTTTTAAACAACTTGAAAATGACTTTTTATCTTGGGTAGATGCATCAAAATCTCCTCTTTCAGAATACATATATCAAGGTTTTTGAAAAAGATTTGACCTCAACAGAATTAATCGAAAAAAAAAATACTGAATCGTACTGCCTTTTTTTTTTCAAAGAACCTACAATTTTATAAAAATATACATATTTGCTTTACTAACTAAAATATTTAAAGCAACTTATTGCGTCATGTTTATGATGATAGTCAATTAATAGTGACTTCACTATTGATATATTCAGAAAACATCAGCGATTGGCACTATTAAACAAATAGATCGAACTATGGTAACTCTTAAAAAAATACATCGATGTCGACGAGATAGAGAGGAGAATTTTTCCATTATGTTTTAATGCAATTTAATGTTGATGTCACAACTTAGGCAGAAGCAACAGACAAGACCAAATACCAAAACATATTCTAAATATATACAGTTTTGAATGATCAGAGAAAAACTCAGTTTTTGAATTTTTCTAAATTAGCTTTAATATTCTTAGCAGTTATTATCCTTTTCAAAGAATAATAGGTGTGGCTGATTTTTGAATAACTTGGGAACGCAAGCAGCTAGAGACCTACGGCTTTCACTAATCCAAAGAGAAGACTGGGAGGCGTCTTTTTCTCCAATGATGAGTGCTAGGAAATCCTTTTACAACTAATTATTTTTGAAACGTATATAAAGAAAGACATGAAAATGACCTGCCGTCTAGATAAAATTTTGATTTTGATCTTTGATTCAGAGCGACTTCAAGTCTATAAATAAAAGGAATTTTTGTTAATTTTTTACTAATTTTTCTCACTCTTTATCATATTAGTTTGACAGTTCGATAGAAATGTAATGAAACGTAAGGAAGCACATTATATCTTGAACTATAGATTTGAAGTCTCACTATATAACTCAAAGGTCAAAATCAAAGTTTTATCTAGATGGCAGATCATTTTCATGTCTTCTTTTACATGTTATTCAAAAATAATTAGTCATAAAAGGATTGCCTCTCACACATTATCGGAGAAAAAGACGTCCATCGGTCTCCTCTTTCGATTAGTGAAAACTGCAGGTTTCTAGTTGTTTGCTTTCCCAAGTTATTCAAAAAACAGCCGCGCCTATTACTTTTTTGAAAAGGATAATAGTGTACTTATTTTACTTGATGAAAAATTGAGCTAGAAATACTGAGTTTATATATCAAGCTCACTTATTCGGACCATCTCTAATTAACTTACTCATGATTTGACTTGTAATAACTTTTCTTTGCATAAAAACTAAGATCTCAAAAAAATAACTATGTCATGTCCTGCATTCCGACATGCCCTTTCAAACAAAAAACAGTAAATGTATAGAATGAGTCTGGACGGAGAAATCTGGGATGCAAAAATATCCTGAAAATCTCATGCAATTTGCATGTGTCCGAGCCAACAGCGACTTTGAAGAAACGTAGGTGTAGTTTTATATGTCTCAATAATTTTTGGGCTGACTGTGCATAAGCCAAAAATACGCTTTCGTTAGTAAGAAATGATCTAATCCATGTTTCAAGTATTCTTTAAACCGTAGATAAATAACTGTTAATAAAAAAACAATAACAAAATTACTTTTGTTGAAATATAGTATAGAACATAAAATATTTTCTTTTCTTATTATAATGATTTCATTTGAGGTAATTGAAATATATTTAACTTCTCCAAACTATTTTCTTTTATTGAAAGAATTTCTAACAAAAAAATATTAATAATAAAGGAAAATACTTTTGAAAACTTTTTGATTGAGCAAATAAGTCATCCATATGAAGTCTTTTTAATTGAGCACAAGTCAAACGTGTTGCATCATTGATAAGATTCATATTTGATGCAGAGATCCAATAAACAAGGTAAATGAGTGTTTTTATCGACAAGAAATTGTTCGGCATAATCAACAAGGGCTTCAACCAGATTGAGAAGAATAAGATGAGGAAATTTAATTAATGACGATGAATGTTGCTTGTTTTGTTGTGGTACAACATAATGTATAACCAGCTCTTTGAGCAAAGAAAAATCTTGAGAAATAACTTAGAATAATTGCTGTTTAAAAGGATGCGTATCATTCATCGTCAAGCATCGGACTTTATCAAATATACCACCTGTGACAAAAATAATATAAATTCTTCTAGATTTTATCATCTAAGGTAGTACTGGAAAAATTCGATCATCATAAGAAAAAGTCTTATTAATTGACGATAATCAGAAGTATCTCAAATTATGTCTTTTCTCAAAATATCATCACTAAAATTCCACTTACGCTGTTGGTTGTACATGCTCTTGTATGTCCAATTTTTTTCACAGTAATAGTCAATTTCGATAAGCAGTTGAGCTTTTTATCAAGAAGATAAAGACAATCATCAAAATATACGACATTAATTTTCAATGTAGTCAAACTTGCAGACATGCAACGTGTTTGTGGTTGTTTATATAAATAAAGTGGCGAAAAAAATTGTTACGA